CCCCCCCCCCTCTCACCCTGGCAGACGTGGACGAGTGTGCCAGCGCGCAGGAACCTGTCTGCACCGGGCCCCACGAGGTCTGTGAGAACACAGACGGCAGCTACCGGTGCGTTTGTGCAGAGGGCCACGTGCGCAGGGATGGCGAGTGTGTGGAGGACGAACCCCCAGGTGAGACTCTGCAGGGACCCCCCTGGCTCCTCCCCCTCCATGGGCCGTGGGGAGTCACTGCCCTGGGGGGATTCTGGGTGGGAGGGGTCTCACATGGGGGTGGCACTGTTTACCTGGGGAGGTTCTGGGGGAGAACATGCTGGGGGCGGTACTGCTTCCCAGCGGAGTGGAAGTTTCTGGCCTGGGGGGCTGGGCTGGGGTTCCACCCTGGGACGCGTGCTGCTCCCTGGGGGCAGGGGGAAGGGAGTTTGCACCGAGGCGGGGGGAAAGCTGCTCCTGTGGGGGTGGGGTGGGGGTTTCTCTGGAGAATCTCTGTCCCAGTAAAGGGGAGAGGATGGAAGATGATAACATGCAGGTAGGATCTGATGAGAGAGGCTGTGAGTTCGTCACGGAGGTCACAGATTCTGAGACTTTCCATGACTTCTGCAGCGGTCGGTGCACCTGGCTCTGGGGCAGCTCAGGCAGCCCCTGCGCCAGTCGTACCGGCCACTGCTAGGGCAGTCTTGGGCCACCATGCCCTCTTCCCCCCCCCCCCAGCAGAGTGGGGGAGGGGGCACGGGATGGGATGAGGGGGCGCTGGGTGGTGCTTACCTGGGGGGCTCTCTGGAAGCGGTGACATCCCCCTCGCTCAGGTGCTAGGCGGGGGTGTGGCCAGGCAGCTCTGTGTGCTGCCTGCACCCAGAGCACCAGCTTCGCAGCGCCCATTGGCGGGGAACGATAGAGACACCATAATAGAGGTTCAACTTAAATGTATCCCCAAATTAAAAACACAGTAAGAGAACCAAAAAACCGCCACCGTGGCTAAACAACCAAGGAAAAGAAGCAGTGAGAGGCAAAAAGGCATCCTTTAAAAACTGTAAGTTAAATCCTAGTGAGGAAAATAGAAAGGAGCATAAACTCTGGCAAGTGAAGTGTAAAAATACAATGAGGAAGGCCAGAAAAGAATTTGAAGAACAGCTAGCCAAAGACTCAAGAACTAACAGGAAGCTGCTAAACAACCCGTGGGGCCACTGGACGATCGAGATGCTAAAGGAGCACTCAAGGACGATAAGGCCATTGCGGAGAAACTAAATGAATTCTTTGCATCAGCTTTCACAGCTGAGGATGTGAGGGAGATTCCCAAACCGGAGCCCTTCTTTTTAGGTGACAAATCTGAGGAACTGTCCCAGACTGACGTGTCATTAGAGGAGGTTTTGGAACAAATTGATAAACTAAACAGTAATAAGTCTCCAGGACCAGACCGTATCACCCAAGAGTTCTGAAGGAACTCAAATGTGAAATTGCAGAGCTACTAACTGTAGTCTGTAACCTCTCATTTAAATCAGCTTCTGTACCCAATGACTGGAGGATAGCTAATGTGACGCCAATTTTTAAAAAGGGCTCCAGAGGTGATCCCTGGCAATTCCCTCTGTTTGCCAGAAGCTGGGAATGAGCGACAGGGGACGGATCTCTTGACGATTCCCTGTTCGGTTCATTCCCTCTGGGGCACCTGGCACTGGCCACTGTCGGCAGACAGGATACTGGGCTAGATGGACCTTTGGTCTGACCAAGTCTGGCCGTTCTTATGGGTTCCTGGCCTGGGGCGTTACCCTCTGACTGCCCCCCTTTGTCCCCCCGCAGACACCCCGGCAAAGGGCTTTTTTGACGAGGTGACGGAGGACGAGGTGGTGGTGCTTCAGCAAATGTTCTTCGGCGTGGTGATCTGTGCGCTGGCCACGCTGGCTGCCAAGGGTGACATGGTCTTCACCGCCATCTTCATCGGCGCGGTGGCAGCCATGGCTGGCTACTGGCTCTCGGAGCGCAGCGACCGCGTGCTCGACGGGTTCCTGAAGGGCAGATAGCTCTGGGCGGGAGGCTCCTCCCTGCCCCTGACACAGGGCCTGGGTGGGCGAGGCCCTTAGCACCGGCTTGGGGACTGTCCCTGTGATGGGGAGCAGGGGGTGCCTGGCTCCAGGGGGCCCCAGGACTGAGGGTGAGATGGGAAGCTGGTGGGGGGCCCCGGCTCTGGGGGTGGGGTGGTTCAGGGCAGGATGTGGCACCCCCTGGCCAGGCCTGTGCCAGAGTTCTCAGAGTCGCTTTCCCCTTGGAGATGTTTTGTCCACGTGGATCCCACTCGCTGTGCAAGCGCTTCGTGCCGTGTCGTTGGGGCTGGGCCTTGCGTGTGCCCCCCTCCAGCGCATGGGGCTGCAGGACAGGTGGTGGTTCCCGCTGGGAGTGCCCAATCAACAGGCAGGCCGGAGGAGACCTAGCGCTGCAGAGAGCAGCACTCCAAAGATGGCCTCTGCCCAGTCGGGGGCCTTGTCTGGCACAGCAATGGGCAGCATGCCAGGGCCCCCCGTGCAGGGAACAGCCTGCCTGCTGGGAGAAAGGGGGCTGCCGTCCGGGTGCACAGGCTGCTGGTACCGCCTGGCGCCACACCGGCAGCCTTTGGCAGGGGTGGCCGGGGCTTTGTCCCGTGCGACAGGCAGGGACTCGTCTGCTGGGTTTGGGCCCGTTGCCTCTCACGCTGTCTGGGGCTGGAGCTGTTTCTCGTGGGTGTAAGAACGTAAGAACAGCCGTACTGGGTCAGACCAAAGGTCCATCCAGCCAGGCTTGAATGATCTTTAGGAAAGACACAAGGGCGGGTGGCTGGCCGATTGACGTGGAGTCTGCCCCCATCTCCACATGTGGTGCAGGACAGGCCTGCCATGAGAGCTGGGAGCTGGCGGACTCTGGCTCGCCCGTGGCCAGCTGGGGCGATGTGCAGAGAGCACTGCGGTCGGGGGCCGGAACAGGGATCCGTCAGCCCCAGAGACCTGCCTTGGATCCCCACTGAGTGTGCAGGGGTAGCACGCTGAGCCACCTCGCAGGCTCCAGCCCAGGGGCTGCAGCCTCCAGAGGGGAGCAGCTGTGCAGAGCTCCCCACGCAGGCTCCCAGCAGAGCTCTGCCAGCCCCCTGGGGCTCTGGGTGGGTCTTAGGAGAGCGGGAGGGGAACTGCTGGATGGGTGGAGAGTTCCTGGGCTGCAGCCTGCCTGATCTCGTGTCTGCGGGATGGGGGAAGCCGTGAGAAAAGGGCCTGGCGGGATCCCCGACTGGGGCACGCTCTGGAGTGCAATGGGGTGTTTTGTGTCTGTTGGCGGCAAACAGGACGGTCCCAGGAGAGCCCCATCTGCAGAACGGGTTTGTGACCAGAGTCCTCCGGGGACCTCTCAGGCTGACCACGTGCTGGCCGTGGAGAGTGTGCCGGGCTGATGGATGGTCAGTGGAGAGCGTCTGGGTTCTCCCGGGGATCCGACACTGCTCCCGGCCTGAGGAGGGGCAGGTGTCTCTTGACTGCGAGGAGCTGGATCGTAGGTGTTGACGTGGTGGTGGATGGCTTGGAGTGCCAGCACAGCGTGGAGCGGCAGCCTTTGTACCCGGAGGGCTTGGGGGGCTTGCTGTGAGGCTGTGGAAAGCTCTGCTCAGGGCTGCACGTGGGGATGGAGGCGGCCGCACGGGGGCAGAGCTGCAAGGTCAGGGTCCATGTGATCTTTGGGAGCTGGGACATGGATCTGAGCGGCCAGGAAGGGATCCCAGGGGAAGTCTGGCAGGAGGTGCAGCATATGCTCGGATGGCTTGTGGCCCAGTCGTTTGAGGCAGGTCCTTGGTGTGGTTTGGGATTTGCCCTGTAGGTGGTGGTGGGCACCTGCTCAGCCCTATGAGCTCTGCACTGGCCTCTGCAGCCCTGGGGGGGGGGGGGGGGGCGGGGGCAGCGGAGGCCAGACAAATTATAATTGGAAGTCGGGTGTGTGACTGACCCCCGGGAGGGCAGGGGCGCTGGCCAGCTCTGGAAGCTGCTGGGCCCAGCACAGGGGTAACTGGGCAGTACGGACTGGCCTGTGCTGGACAGGAGTCAGGACATGCGCGAATAGCCCCTTCTGGCCTTGAACCCTGAGTCTCTGGAGGGCTCCTGACATCCCTTGGCTGAGCCAGTCGACGCGGGTGGTCGCGAGCAGGCCCTGTTGCCTCAGGGCGGGGGAGGCTTTGGCTCGTACCGGCGAAGCTGCGCTGAGAACTAGTCCCCCCGGGTGCACTGTGTCCCAGGGGGAATGACGAGAGCTGCAAACCAACCCTGAGCATCTCCAGTGAGGACAGTGGAGGCAGCGCTGAGCTTTGCTGGTTTGGCTCCAGAATATGAGGCAGCCCCCCAAAGTCTCCAGGTACTTTACTGGGGGAAGGGGAGATCTGGAAGCTGCTGCTTGTCTGTCATGAGAAAGTCCCTGAAAGTGGGGGGGTGTTTGGGGCAGATGTTCCCGGCCCTGGCTGCTGGAGTCCCTAGTTCTGGGGATCCTGAGGTTGCCTAGAGGCCTCCATGGCGTGAAGGGGGAGTCGGAGTGGGGACTGACTGGCGTGCAAACCCCTGCACGAGACAAAGGCTTGAAGCCAGGACACTCTCCTCAGCTTCCTGGGGCCGCCAGGGGTCAGGCCAGATTCCACAGACTGAAATCGGCTTGGCCTCGTGGGACCGTGATCCTGCCCAGGTGAAGCACTGCTGTCTGCCGCATGGTGCCTGGGCACTGGCAGGTGTTCGATGCACGCTGGGGAACCAGGACGTGTCTGCGTGTAGCTGGTGGAGATGAGCGTGCCGGACTGTGCCGCGGGTTGCTGGCTCCCAGAGGCCCTGCTGCTGGGCACTGCCGGCGCCCTGGGCAAAGGGTGAATATCGAGCCGCTGATGAGCCTCCCCTTGCACTGCTGTGATCTCAGTCTCCAGTGTTTGCTGTTCTGCTCTTGTCCTCTTCTGCATGCCAGCTCCGGGGCAGTGTGGGGTGTCCACAGGCGGGACACAGCCAGGGAGTGAGATCCTGCTCACCTTGGAGCTGAACAGGAAGGAGACACCCCTGCCCCCCACACACTGCGCCACAGGGGCCACATGGCTGAAGAGAAGCTCCCGCCCCAGGATCTGTCCAGCTGCCCCCTTTGGCATGAGCCTCAGTCTAGGGCCCCGTCACTGGCGGTGGAGCACCTCGCCGTGTAGAACGTCATTACAGGGCCCCCCCATGGTGCAGAGGGGACAGAGGCCTGGGCAGATGAAGTGACTGGGAACTGAGCCTTGGTCTTCTGTATCCCTGGCTGGAGCCTGCCCTGCCCTTGGGGGGAGAACAGGGGCAGGGCCAAGTCCTGCTGGAGCTGAGTGCCAGCGAGGCTGGGAGCTGGCACCGGGCTAGCTGAGAACAGCAGCGCTGGGCCTGTTCAACACAAGGCCCCTGGCTCGGGGCTCTGATCTTGGGGGGCAGCAGAGCGGTGCCAGACGCTCACCCTCTGGCAGTGCCTGGCCCCCACAAGGCAGGACCAGAGGTGGTGGCTACTCCTGGAGTCTGGGAAGGGCATGCACCTGCCCCGGATGGGGATGGGGGGGGGCTTTTAAAGAGTGCTCTGCCCTGCCCCTGCATGTGTGGCCTCCTGACCCCCAGCCAGTCCTGCCTCAGTGCCAGGTGGGGGCCCCAACCCTAGAAAAGCAGGTTTAATACTGGCCATGGGGCCTGATCCCCAGACTGCCCCCCTAGTCCTGTGGGAGCTGGGTGTAGTTTGGGGACTGGGGCCAGCTGGCTCCAGCCACACTCGGAGGCTAGCCCATGATGTCTGCTCCAGGAGCAACGGCTTGAGATGGAGGCCCCAACCAGCGAGGCCTGGCCCAGCCCCTCACTCCAGCACTGCTCAGGGCCCTGGGCATGCCTGCACTCTCTCCACCCACCAGCCCTGAAGGGCCAGGCGCCGGAGGGGCAAAGGAGGTAAGTTTGAATATGCCCCCCGCTGCCTAGATCCTTTAGCACTAGGGCTGGCAAGAGATTAAAAAAAATTAATCACACTGTAGAATACCATTTATTTCAATATTTTTGGATGTTTTCTACATTTTCAAATACATCAATTTCAATTATAATACAGAATACAAAATGTACAGTGCTCACTTTATATTTGATTCAAATATTTACAGTGTAAAAAGACACAAGAAATAGTATTTTTTAATTCACTTCTCACAAGTACTGAAGTGCAGTCTCTTTATCATTAAAGATGAATTTACAAATGTAGAATTATGTACAAAATAATCTGCATTCAAAAATAAAACAATGTCAAACTTTAGAGCCTACAAGTCCACTCAGTCCTACTTCTTGTTCAGCCAGTCACTCAGACAAACAAGTTTGGTTACATTTGCGGGAGATAATGCTGCCTGCTTCTTGTTTACAATGTCACCTGAAAGTGAGAACAGGCGTTTGCCTGGCACTGTTGTAG